AAAATTATTCATGATAACATAAATATAAAGTTTATTTTTCGTATTTTATACATTGATTTTTATTTTATATGTCAATGATAAAAAAAATAAAGTTTATTTAGTCATTGAAAACGCGCACAGTTGATCACCACTGCGACATCGTTGTTGTCAACCAGCGACACAAAACACATATTTACTATGAATGAACAGTCTACCACCACGAGAACCAGACGCACATTCGCGAAAAGACAACGCACGTCTCGATGGAGTGGCCATCGCAGATCGCTGCGTGCCACCACAACGAAAAGATCAACACCGCAACAAACCACTTTGTGTTATCATGTAGTGGCTCAAATGTCATTTCTCCATTGCCGCAAACAATCACCACAACACGTCTTTTCGCTATCGCACTACCGTGAGCAAACCATTACCGATGACCTCTGCAAGTGCAAACGATGCCAAAAATTCCGGATTCAGGAACTTAAACGAGAAAGTTAAATTTACCAATTTTCATACCTTTTGATAATGAATAATTATTAAAATTTATGATACATTCTTCAAAAAAAAAAGAACAATTATATTTGTACCTTAGTAGCTCTGATACCAATTGATTAATTCACGTAACAATATAAGATATAATAAACATAATATATTTAATAGAGTAGAAAGATTGTGTACCCAAAATTATTAAAGGATCCCTATAGCACGTATGAGAGAATAATGTTCTCTTTCTTATAGGTTACTATTAAACATACTTTAAAAAATATTGATTAATAAATTAATTATTATTGATTAATGTTAATCCATAAAAAAATAATAATAAATTATATAATAATTTATATAAATACAACAGATGAAATAAAAATATTGATGATAAACAATTTTTATCGTATTCATATGAAAAATCAATTTAATAGAGAATATTGAATTTTTGTAACACAAAAGAATATCAATTTTTCTATGGATAAGTTATTATATATAAGAAAATTTCGTGTCCTTTAAATCAATTTAAATACTAATTAGCTTTGTGTGTATGTGAGGAATCATATTAGTAATTTCCATATTATAAATCAATATTTTTATATGAAAAAGTATTTTGGTGATCCAACTATTAGAGTACTGTCTATATTACCATATGATTGTTTGTCAAAAGTTTGCTTAAATTAAACAACAATAAAAATAATCAAATTATTCTTTTTGAGTATATTTTAAAAATATGTATTACATCAATTTTAATTATACAAATGAGGGATTAAATGATCTTGGATTGATATCATTTTTTTTTCATAAGTGAAAAGAACTTTTAATCAATGAATGAATATTTAGGAAACATAATCAATTGTGTGAAAATAATTAAATTTGAAAATAGATTTATTAATGAAAAATTAAATAAATAAATAACTATACGATATTTTACATAAAAGTTTTAGAATAAAATCCTACTAAAATAGGATTGCAAGTTCGCAGTAAACAATTAAAATCTGAAAATGAGGAAAATAGTCAACAAAAGAAATAAGACCCTATTTTATGTTTGCTTTATTTCCGATAAGATGCACAAGGTTGAAATCCTACATAGAAATTTAAAAAATTATTTTTAAAAATAAATTGAAAAAAAAAATGATAATTAAATTTTTTTAAATAAAAATTGATAATTATTTTTCTCCTGATTATAGTAGTTTAATCTTCCAAAAGCAAGGTATTTTTCTCAAACATGTTTTTGTTCCTAGAGATCATAAAAATCTAAGGGGATTCTATCCAGATAGACGCAATGAATGTATCTGCACTTTCACGGTTCACCAATGTTGATCAAGTTTAAATTTTAGTAATGAATTGACAAAGCTGTACACATATTGCCTATAGAAGAACACATTTTGATCTAAGGTTTACACACCAGCGTGGACATTTAAACATACTGAATTAGATCCTGCAGAAGCTCAACTTTAGGTAGCAGATTTAAATTCTCAACTAGATTCCTCCAACTTGTATTTTCAACTAGAGACTTTCCTGCTTTCCCTAGACAGACTAAGAATTTGGAACAGAAGAAAAGAAGAGTGACAAAATGCAACCTTGTAGAAATGAAATAATTGCTGCCAGACAAAAACATTATATTCATGTAAACATTTCGAACTTTTGATCACAGGTAGATCTCAAGGTCAAGCAATGGTGAAACTGAACAATTGGTAGCACTCAATAAGTCCAAAAGATTCAATGGTCCTGCTTCAGATGAAGATTCAACTATTTATACTTCTTAAGAAAATTTTCTAATAGATAAACAAATTTAGTTGGATAAGACAACATAGAAGAAATCCAGTATAAGATCCTAAATATAATTGAAAACAAATACAGAACAATGGTATAAATCAATCCTAACCTTAAAAGCAACAAAGCTTCATTAAATGATCAAATGGAAATTTTGTATCTGTTATGGTTGCATAATCCAACTATATGTTAGGATTTCAGTTCGTAACTTCAACAGAACAATGGCATTTTGCAAAATATCGAGACTTTCCAAACACATTATAATAGAATAAATATTTCGTCTTCTGCTTAATGATGATTTAAATGGAATGAATTTATCAAATGATGATTTTAGACGAGAAAGAGAAAACCTTAAACTTCCATCATGTAAGAAAGACATACTTTAAAATGAAGAAAATGCACTAAGGCAGGTGCAAATTCGTCCACATCTTCCTTTTGCAGAAATAATCAGAAGGCGAAATTTACCATCCTCTCTAAATCTCTAGGGTCAAACAAGCAAATAGAGTTCTAGAAGAAATAAAAAGGCTTAACAAGGGGCATTCATAGGACAATGGCATATAGAGTTGACACACAAATTACCCCACCAAATACATGTTTTGAGAAACTCAACTTTATTAGATAACATTTGCATATTTTTGTTGTAATTTTAACCTTAAAGAGCATAAAAATCATAAGATATTATCAAGTAACTTTTCTCCCAAGTTGTTCTTTGATTCAGGATTTGAAGGAAGAGAATGAGAAATATTGGATATTGGAAGAAGGCAATCCGCCCAGCGCCGTACACTGTGCACCCAAAGGATTTTGACCACAAGAAGGGGTGCACGCGTTGCCCAATCCGCCCAGCACCTATGTTAAGCGCCCAGCGGATTTCCCCTTAAACGTAGTGGGTGCACGCGGGGGCTCAATCCGCCCAACGCATTATACCGGCGTCCAGCGGATTTTCCTCTCTTTTGACCTAATATCTATTTAAGAATCAAAAGAACAAGGGAGAAGAGAGGCTGGTACGGGGGAGAAAGGAAGAAAAGACTGATCAGACCTAAGGGAGCTCGTGGAAACGCATATTCACTTGAATCCAACAAGTTGTTATTGTAATTTCTTCTCCTTCTTCTCTTGTTTTGTAATGGGTTCCTCCATGAGGGGCTAAAACTCTTTGGGTTAGATTACATGTAACTGCTTTCAGACCATTTCTCAATATATATGATTTTCATTTGATGCAGTTGTGATTGGTTCTATTCTTAATGCTTTCTTCGGAATGATCAACCAATTTAAGATTCGAGGTTTTTTATTTCGTTGGAAAATGTTTTCATTAACTGGAACTGGATTAAATACTTAATAGACAACCTCTCTAGGAATAGAAGTGTGTTTGTTAATCACATTAATCTCAAGATTTGTTCGTAAGGCAAAGTGTTGATTTCGAACCGTTGAGGAATCACATTCAAGTTTAACACCCTAGGACTTGGTTTCGAGGAATCGGGCTAAGTTACATACTGAGAGTGAAACTGTAAAAACTGAAATTATATGGTTGAGAAATAGGACTGGAAGCAAGTGCATATAATCCGATCCGTTTTATTTCTATTCACTTTGTTATACTAAATATTGCGCTTATTTTTAGTTGTTTGTCTCAAAATCATAGTTTCAATCCACGATGATAACCATATCTTGTCTACAATATCACTAAATCACAAATCTCTGTGGACGATAACTCTTTATTACATCGAAACTTGGTACACTTGTCGAGTAATTTGAATCCATCGGTGAAAAATAACAACAATACACCAAAAACATCAAGCTAATCCTCTACAGATTTTGGACATCGTGTTAGTACAAAACTGCTATGCAATATCACCCTATAAATTGTTAGCAGTATTGTCAAGGTTGTGATGGTCACACTGCTATGCAGTGGAATTAGCTCAGATTCTTTATGGAAGAATGCAAATTGCAGGGCTAAGATTTTTCCCTCATAACTTTCTATTCAAAAAGGTTTTAATAAACAATCCGTAATTGTTAGCTCAGCCACGCGGTCAAGATTTTTACGGCCTTCACAATCGGGCACAATTGTTGTTACTACCTGCATAGGCCACAATTGTTGTAATTCGATACAATATCAAGGATCACAACAAAACCACAATTTCGATCACAATTTAAAACCAGATGTAACTATTCAACTACGATGCTTTTATGATAATGGCCTCTTGTACATCGTTCTCAACGACAATTTCATTGTTTTCTCCTCTAAGAGGTTGTGTCATCATCAACACATCTTCAAACTCTATGTGCAGCAGCACACAAGTTAAACCACATTCAGCCAATTCCCTTTAGCTTCACGTGCCTATTCAGCTGTTATGCCTCCCCCAAATCACTAAAACCACTCTATCTCTATCAAATTGCAGCATAACTACATATTGGAATAATTCTCTTAGAAATGGTGAGAACTCCACCATTCTACATATTGGAATAATTCTCTTAAAAATGGTGAGAACTCTACCTTAATAATGGGTGGTTTAGTCTATAACCATTAATTGATGAGATACTTCACTCAACCATATAAAACCCATTCACGGATTGTAATTACGTATTTACTATTATGTTACGATATCTCTCGTGAGGGATTTCTCAACAAATTCAGCAACAACATATAGCAAATCATCCACACATACCCAGATAACTTATTAAACCAATTTAAACCTTATTCTAAAAGAATACATTAAAAATCAACTTTCAATTTTTATTCAAAAAATCGAAGTCAAAAGCTTACACCAAAATCAAAACAGTTGCAGCACAGGTCTCTTCCCAAGCCTTTTGATCTCTCTATCCATGTTGCCAGTGAGCATGAACCCGAACATCTTGAAGTCACACAAGAGAGACCAAAAGGGGTGTCTCAAAGTCTCAGGGAAATTCCTCTCAACGAACAAGTGGCTGTAGAAGGCACATCCATAGCCAGAGAAAGGGACAAGGCACAAGAACCACCAACTGAAGAAAATAGAACAAAATAAGAAGAGAATGCTCGAGAGAGTTCCTGCGAAGTGCCATCGCCTCGTGGAAGCCTTGGAGTGCTGATTCATGTAAAAGACCCAGAAATCCTCCAGGCTCCTGAAATTCATTGCTCCGAAGGAAATAACCCGAAATCCTGAGATAACCGAGTGTGAATTTTAAGAGAGAAAGGTGAAAACGTTTCTGGTGTCGTTGAAATTGCGGATATGGAATCAAAGTTGGAATCTTGTTGGTGAAGGATACTGTATAGTTCCGACGACAACTTTTGACCGAGACTTGAAACGCCAAAGGTGAAGTGTTGTTTTCTGGTTGGTGTCTATTTTGTGTTTGTTTGACTCTACTTATTTTCAAATCAGTTTCAAGACACTAATTAATGAATTAATAATATTCATTATTAATTATGTTTTAGTCCTAAGATTTCGAGTAATTTTAATTTTAGTTTTTAAAATTTTTAAAATATTTAAATATCTTAAAATTGAAAAATAAAATAACCTTTAACAGCAAATTTAAAAGATTAGAAAATAGAAATTTTAAACTTTTTTTAATCTTTAAAAATTATAATTTAAAAATTAACATTGTATTTTATTAAATTTGAAGAATAAAATATTTTTTTAAAAATGAACGTCAAACTTTATAAATGTAGTAAGTTGTTCATTATTTAATTAACTTAAATTATTAACATTATAGTCGTTTTATTTTACTGTTCATATTTTGAAATATTGCACATCAAAAATTTTCATTTCAAAATTCTTTTGTATAAGTTGATAGTCAATCAATCTTTCACATCAAACAATCAAACTTCAAATAAAAACTATTTCTAATTAATTTAATCTTTATCGTCTAAGTTCCATGTTCGTGAATGATATACCAATAATTTATTTTCTTTAAAATAAACTGCAAATCTGCTTCTTAACATTCATGCAACACAAAATTTTTATCCAAATGTAAAATGTGGATAATATTGTTTGTTAACTTTGTAATTATGAGTGTTATGAAATCATAACTTTGTTAACTTCAAACTTTTTAAGTACATAAACAATAATTTTTCAAAAATCTCTTGTATGTAAATGATGTCTCACCCACAAGTTATTGTTTTGATTTACAATACCCATTAACTTATAATAACATTGACAAATTCATTGTTCTTCATTATCATCATAAATTCAAATTTCATTTTCAAAAACCCTTCGTATTTTATACACATGTTTATAGTATTATTTTACATTTGAAAATTTTACATATATTTTACTTTTTATTTTTAAATTATTTTTTAAAGTTAAAATAAATTGAGTTTAATATATACGATTGTTGTAATTTCATGTTTTTGGTTATTTTAACATTTTCTTACTCATTTGTTCATCAGTTTTTTTTCAATTAGCTTACAAATTCAAACTTTTTTTCCTACTTTTCTCTTATTTTTATAATTATTTTTTATATTATATTCTTATTTTTTTTATCAAACTAAATCTTGAATTTTAATCCATAAAATTAAAATTATACAATCTGGATTAAATTTTACACCGATCATTTAATACTTTAAATTCGTTCTCCCTCTCTTTGAATTCAATTTGTATTTTATGATATTGATTTGTGTTTCTTATTTTTATAATTCATAATAAAATATATTGAATCTTATTTAACAATTAGATAAAATTAAATTTAATGATATTTTAATTTGATTCATAATTCTAGTTCAATAAGTTTTTTTCTATTGAATAAATTAATTGAGTCAATTAAATGATCAATTTTGAATCATAATAGGAAAATTTGAATGAATCTTAAATAGGTGGAATGAACTTTGTTTTCTTGAATTTCATTCTTGCATGTTCAAATTTTGAAATGGGAGAGCTACGGAAAGAGAATAATAGAACCTTTCTTGTATATATGTACAAAAGCTGTAATGTTTATATACAATAGAAATAACAGAGTAAAACAGAGAACGTGAACTAAACAGAAAAAAAACTGAAAGTAAACTCATGCACGTAACCATGCATGCCCCATGCACGTAACCATGCCCCATGCATTTTGACTTAAAACTCAACATGCCTCCTTAAGTCAAAATCGAACAATTCCCATAGACTCTCTGAGTTTACAAAATCTAGCAGTCTTCAAAGGTTTTGTAAAAATATCCGCACTCTGATCTTCTGTACTGCAGTGTTCTACTTCAAGCTTCTTATCATTAACCTGCTCTCTCAAGAAATGAAACATCATTTCTATATGTTTGCTTTTTCCATGTGCTGATGGGTGTTTAGCTAAGTCTATTGCAGACTTATTATCAACAAACAATGTTGGTGGTTGGACCAATTCGCATTCAGCTCCTTCAACAAGCATCCTAAGCCATGCAGCTTGACATGCAGCACTGTGCAGCGACTATATACTCGCTTCACGGAGGAGAGAGCCACCACGGGTTCCTTGATCGAATTCCGGGACACTCGGTCCTTCGCCATAGTAAAATATGTGACCTGCAAGTGCTTTTTCTATCTTCCCTGTCACCACACCAATCTGCATCTGCAAATCCTACCAATTTCATCTCACCCCCTAGCTTCTTACATGGAAACATTATACCAAGATTACACGTTCCACGCAAATAGCGTAAGATACGTTTCACGGCATTCATATGGCTAACTTTCGGGCTCTGCATATGTCTACTAACAATGCCAACACCATAGCTCAAATCAGGTCTGGTGTTACACAAGTATCTCAGACTCCCAATGATTCTGCGAAATTCTGTGTGATCAACATCTTCCTCCTCAGTGTCCCTTTCTAATCTCAGACCCATTTCCGTTGGAGTTACTGCAGCATTGCAATCCTTCATCCCGAACCTGCTGAGAAGATCTCGTGAGTAATTCATCTGATGCATAATAGTTCCAGCTTTTGTGAACTGAAACTCAATGCCTAGGAAGTAGCTGAGTCTTCCCAAATCACTCATCTCAAATTCACTATGCATTTGAAATTTAAACTTTGCAATTGCTTCTGGCTTGCTCCCAGTCAACAACATATCATCTACATAAAGACATACTATCATTTTCTCTTCTCTGTCTTTGTCTTTCCAGCACTTGGTGTACACCCCTTGTTCGGAAACACATCTCACAAAACCAATCTTCTCCAAGAACTGATTGATCCGATGATTCCAAGCTCTAGGAGCTTGTTTAAGCCCATAGAGTGTCTTATTAAGCCTGTATACCTTGTGCTCTTCTCCTTTGACTATGAATCTCAATGGTTGTGTTACATATATTTCCTCCTCCAAATAGCCATTTAAGAAGGCAGATTTTACGTCTAGTTGGTGGAAGGATCAACCCTCCCACGTTGCCATTGCTACAATGATTCTAACAGTCTCCAGTCGAGCCACAGGAGCATAAATTTCTCCATAATCTACTCCTTCTTTTTGAAGAAATCCTTTGGCGACCAATCTCGCCTTGTACCTCACAATTTCACCCTTGGGATTTACTTTTATTTTATAGACCCATTTCAGAGAGATTGGTCTTCTGTCTAGTGGTGGTTCAACCAGTGTCCACGTCTTGTTTTTCTCTATGGCTTCAATCTCTTCCTCCATGGCTCGCACCCAATGAGTATCTCGAATAGCATCATAGAATTCTATCTGATCTGCCTCAGCTATCAGAGCGAAATGTACAAAATTTCCATTCTCCGTTACCGCTAGATCATTGAAAACCTCATATTCCTTGAAACGTGTAGGTGGCTGAGTAACTCGCTGTGATCTTCTTGTTTGTTCATGAGGTTCCTGCTGCACTGTTACATCACCTACAACATTATCAGTTAGTGAAATTTTTGGCGTTGTACCTGATTGAGTTACTTGACTCATTTTCTGCCAGTTCCAACACGAGCCTTCATCAACCACCACATCTCTGCATATGATTACCTTTCGAGAGTTTGGATCAAACAATTTATAGTCGCCTGTTACGTGATAGCCAATCAAGACTGCCATAGCACCTTTGTCATCAAGTTTGCTACGTGTTTGATCTAGAATGCGGTGATAACAAAGAGATCCAAAAACTCTCATATGAGTTACATCCGGTTTCCGACTGCACCGAGCTTCCTCCGGTGTTATACCATCAAGCTTCTTTGTTGGTGAGCGATTCAAAACATAGGCAGCAGCTTGAAATCGCTTCTCCCCATAGATATTTTGGAACACCCTTGCTTTTAAGCATGCACCTTACCATGTTAAGTAGGGTCCGGTTCCTCCTTTCTGCAGTACCATTATGCTGCGGTGTATATGGTGGTGTTGCCTCATGAGCTATTCCATTTTCAGCACAAAAATTCTTGAATTCAAGAGAGTTGAATTCTCCCCCACCATCAACACGAAGCCTCTTCAACTGCTTGCCACACTGATTTTCAACCAGTGTCTTGAACCGCACAAACACTTTAAACGCTTCACTCTTCTTTCGCAAGCAATACACCCATAACATTCTCGTGTAATCATCTCGTGAAAGTAATAAAATACTTACTGCCCCTGTGTGTTTCAACCAAGCAATGGCCCACAAATATCTCGAATGTATTAGCTCAAGTTTCTCCGAAGCTTTCAAGGATACCTCTTTACTCGAATTTGTTCCGCGTTTGCTTGCACTCCATACATTCTCTACATACTTCGTCTGGAACACACATATGAGGAATACCAACTACCATTTTCTTATGTCCAAGTTCTCTTAAGTCTCGAAAATTAAGATGTCCAAATCTGAGATGCCACAGCCATTCGCACTTGTCACTGACAGCAGCAAAACATTGGTGCTTCAAAGCATCCATCTTAACCTGAAAAGTTCGATTGGAGGACAGACCAACATGTATAACCAGCTTCTGGGTTTGATAAAAAACACGTAAGGCATTATCTTCAAGTGTCATCTTGAAACCTCTTTGCATCAACTGGCCCAAGCTCAGAAGGTTTGATTTCAACCCGGGCACATATAGAACATTTTCAATTATCACGTCCTTGCCATCATTGTTTCGCAACACAACTCTACCAGTTCCTTTTGCTGTGAGAGAAATATTATCTGCAAAACGTATCTTTTCTTGACTAATATCACTTATCTGCACGAACCAATCTTTCTTCCCGGTCATGTGCGTGGAGCACCTAGAGTCCAAGTACCACAAATATTCA